ACGGAATACTAGCACAAACGAGCTATCCCGATAGTCGTTTAAGCGACACTAGAAGAATGAGGGCAATACCAAATGACAGTGATGTAGACACCAAACAATGTTCAGTACAAAGCGATGAAAAACATAACGAGATAGAACCCACCATTCGCATAACCTTTGATCGGAAGTATGCAAATGACACTGCGCTGCTAACTGAAGACCCACGTAAGGTGCAAGATTTTCTATATCTTTTTCATTTTAAGATGTCCGGGCATTAACTAAAGATGTCACAATATGAATTTAAGATACCCGAGTATCAATTTAAGATGCCATGTTGCTATGTGGATAGTAGGATAGTTCGATTGAACCGTCGTTTCACACTGTCTTGTACTTCTTGTGATGCTCTTGTTGTCATGTTTAGTTCATCCGTGTGGTGAAGGCACGCCTGCTGTACAGTCGTAGTTCACTGGGCCTGTCTAAGGCTCGCGACTGTAAACAATGTGCGGTTTCTCGCTCGGGTTAGATGGGTAAGCACCAGGTCCCTTGTTGCGGCTGAACTATCCGACCGATCGATAAATGAACCTGATCGGTCGTGTGATCTTCGAGGTTGGCATAGGCGGTGGATAAGCACTGAATTCGATACTGCCTAAGTGTTAGTAGAGAATCACCACATGCGCCATGTGGGAAATTCGGAATGGAAAAGTTTAAGCGATGACGACACGGGCCAACGTTTGACTCGTCTAAGATACACGTACTATTTTTTAAACCCGTTCGATAAATGGATAATCATAACAATAAAACTTGCCCGAAGTACGGACTACGATATTCACTAATATAGGCCAATGCCAATTTCTTCTTGAAGTTTTACTAACTAGCTTTTTCACATGAAAAAATGCATATTTATTTTAAAAAAGTTGTTCGAATCTCACCGAAGCTACTGAACTTTTCACGATCGACATGAAAACTTTAAAGAAGTTATTCAATATGTTTTCCACCCTACTTTTTTGCATAGCAAAATACGGCGAAGATAGTTTTCTTCCAGGCTCAAAATAGTAGCAATTGTAATACTTTCTCGCTGATCCACCTGTGAGAATGGTTGAGTTCCAGTTTCAGTTTGGACAACCATTAACCATTCACTATCGTGCGCCGGTATTGGTTGCCCATTTTGATGAACATTAGGAAAAAGACAAGAACGGTAATAGCAGCGACACTTCTTAGAGCACTGATGAAATTAGACAGGTAATAGCTTTCGTCCCTCCAAACAGGCTCAGCTAAAAGAACTTCGTGTGAATGATCCTGAGTGCCGACTAGAATTTTGCACATGGTACCTGGCACACTTGGATGTGTGACAAACGGTTTTCACGGATGAAGCCATTTTTATGTGAACGGAAACGTTACAAATCCTATTCGTTGGGCTGTTGAAAACCCAAGACACTCTGTTGACTCAAAGTCGCTTCATAATCCCAAAGTGTTAGTGCGGGCTAGTATTATGCACGGCAAGATTATCGGACCGTACTATTTTTAACGGAAACGTAAAAAGTAAGAACTGTTCTGCTTATAACTTTGTTTAGGGGGTCTCATGACTGGTAATGTTTCAAGATAATGTAGTACCTGCATATAGAAACTGAAGCTGGTAGCACAGTTTGGTGCACCGCCGCACACTGCTTTGGTGTCGAGAAGTTTCCTTGAGTCGGAATTTAACTGTCGACGGATTATCCGATGAGGACCAAAACGATGGCCTCCAAGATCAACTTATTTTTCTCCCTTGGGTTTCATTCTGTAGGCATATATAAAGCGAACAGTGTGTTTCCGAAAATCGAAAACGATCGAGGAGCTAAAGCAGTGTATCGCCCCGCAGTCCGAAACTTTTACAATTGCTAATATAAGATAAGCCTTTTTGTTATGATTATCCATTTATCGAACGGGTTTAAAAAATAGTACGTGTATCTTAGACGAGTCAAACGTTGGCCCGTGTCGTCATCGCTTAAACTTTTCCATTCCGAATTTCCCACATGGCGCATGTGGTGATTCTCTACTAACACTTAGGCAGTATCGAATTCAGTGCTTATCCACCGCCTATGCCAACCTCGAAGATCACACGACCGATCAGGTTCATTTATCGATCGGTCGGATAGTTCAGCCGCAACAAGGGACCTGGTGCTTGCCCATCTAACCCGAGCGAGAAACCGCACATTGTTTACAGTCGCGAGTCTTAGACAGGCCCAGTGAACTTGTGCACGATTTGTTCTTTCTGACTACCTAATAAGAATATGTCGTATACATACACACATTAATAATTTAAATATATATATATATATATCATACAAGAAATGGAGGATTCGGGTTTTAACTAATCCTTTATTTCTTTCATGTAACATGAATGTTTCTAACCGACTCATAACCCCGGGAGAGGAGTGCTGAGCTGCACAACATACGATGCCTGCAGTAAACCCAAAAAGATTGACGGTGCTATATCGTGTATAAAGAAAATGAAAAAAGGGTCTGATCCGCTGCCCTATGACCGAGTTGGTAGTATGTATATGTTCTGCCTGTGATGTCCCTAGTTCCGAAGATGAACTCACAATACTGATGAGACCCGTCCAGGTCGAAGCAGCTGTCCAGTAGTGTCTGTTAGTTTTTCAGTTCGTGTTTAAATTTGCTCCTTACTTACACGACGCAATTCACCATATATGTGATAGACATCGTATATCACTGTCCATGACAATTTTAATATCACAAAGCTTAAAATATACGACGGTGGAAATTTGTGATGCTCGTTACGATTGTCTCCGTATACCACTTATAGACAGATCAGGTCGGCAAACCAATAATCCGCTTGTTCGCTTCATTTCTTATTCGTTTTATCGAGCTATAAATGCGTCGAGTTCAACCAAATTCAAGCTTTAGTTATGCGACATTAAAAGCGAGGCAGAATGTGCATATATTCTCTTCTCGATGCATAATGAACTCTGGCCAAAAAATATTCCCATTTTCGTACAATCAGTATATGGCTGTGATAAACTTCATGCTCCTATGAACTTCTTTCAGTCTGGGTATTGACTGCTCTAAAATAGTGCAAATCCGCCAGGGAATACAGAACGACCGGAATGACCCAGCTGACAGAAAGCTTGAATAAATAGAGCGAAAACGTCTTTAATGAAGCTGAACACAAACAACTGCGCCGAAGTCCACA